CATGCATATGAAGCAGTTGAAAATGCCGTGGTTTGAGTGGGGTGCACCTTAGTCCTCAAAGTGTCACATTTTCCCAATGCAGTATGTTGTCTGATTTCTTGATTGCCTCTTCCTTGGGTGTTGATTGCAGATCCAAGTAAAATTAAATCCTTGACAACTTTGGTATTTTCGCCGTTTATCATGATGTTGCTCATTGGTCCAGTTGTGAGGATTTTCATTTTGTTTATATTGAGGTGTAATTCATACTGCAGACTGCAGTCTTTAATCTTCATCAGTAAGTGCTTCAAGTCATCCTCCCTTTCTGCAAGCAAGGTTGGGTCAGCTGCATATTGCAGGCTGTTAATCAGTCTTCCTCCAATCCTGACGCTGCATTCTTCTTCGTATATACTTCTCAGGTTATTCGTTCAGGATACAGATTGAATAAATATGATGAAAGAATGCAACCAGCATGCACACATTTTCTGAGTTTAAGCCATGCAGTGTCCGCTTGTTCTATTCTAATGACTGCCTCTTGGTCTGTGTGCAAGTTTCTCATGAGCTCAGTTACATGCTCTGGAGGGAACTTCATAAACAACCAGAAATGTCTGACAAACTCTGAAGGACAACCTGCACAGCTTGCCCCAGCTACTCAAGAGAGTCCGAGACCTCAGGGAGGGCAGAAATTGTGACTCCAAAAGGATTTGGTTAGTTGCTGCATGAACCCACTCCAACCCTCTTCCTGCTTTCATTTCATAATGCCTCAGGCCTTTGCTGCTGCCAGGATGCTGGGAAGGCAGGCTCTCATCTGGGTGAGCTCTGCCACCTACAGCACGCAGCCCAGCAAAGCCACCATGGAGACTCATTTGCATACATGAATAAGGGAAGGCTGAGGAACCCTCCACAGGAAGAAAAATGGCTTTGGGGATTCCTGATTAGCATTCAGAAATGCAGGCTCTTTGAGGTTGGTTACAGTGATGAGGAGATATTTTTACATTAAAGGGGAAGGGATAAATTCTGAGGATTAGCACCTGACAAAAGTATTGCCCAAAACCCAGAGAGGAAAGGCATTCACTCTAGCAGAGACAGGGAACAAGATCATGGGTTCCCATAATAAATACAGTTCTCATATTCTGAAGCATGCTCAGTACTGGAAGCC